GAAGGAAGGAAGGAAGGAAGGAAGGAAGGAAGGAAGGAAGGAAGGAAGGAACTGATACAGTGGGGTCTTGACTTGAGAACTTAATCCATATTGGAAGGCGGTTCTCAAGTCAAAAAGTCTGTAAGTCAAGTCTCCATTGACCTACAGTGCATTGAAAACCGATTAATCCCATAACAGGCCGTTTTTGTTTCATTTTGGTTTTTTTCTGGTCTGTAAGTCAAATCTCAGTCTGCAAGTCAAACCTAAATTTTGGGGCCAGAGAAGTCTGTAACTCAAAAAGTCTGTAAGTCAAGCCGTCTGTAAGTCAAGGGTCCACTGTAGTAGATAGAAGGAATGAAGGAATGTGTTAAACACCATAGCTGAAAAGCTAAGGAGTAACTAGTTATAAGTAATGTAGGTACCTTAGATACTGTTGGCTAACAAAGAGTGCAACTCCTAGTTAAAAAAATGTTTTATTTTCAAAACAGATGCATCCTGTCACAAATGTTACATATAAATCAATAGTTCCCAACTTTGGATCTCCAGATGTTCTTGGACTACAACTCCCAGAAGTTTTCCCCACTAGCTACAGTGGAAGTTGTTGTCCAAGGTCATCTGCAGAGACAAGGCTGGGAAGCTCTGGCCTAAAGGATGTTTTAAGCTTTTTTAGAAGAAATTTTACCAGGGTGTTTCAAGTTTTATGTCATTCTTTGGATCCATCCATAACTGGCATGGGGTGGGTGGGAGTATTTATAGATTTTTTTAATTTTTATACATGTTTCTTAGGTGAAATATCAGAGTTGGCCACTAGGGGGAACTGAATCATATTTCCTAATTTTTTCCAGCTTGTTGGCAATGACACTGTAATCTGCTAATAATGCATAGGATGACTTACCTCTGCAGTCAGAGTGAGGATAATGACAAGGACAACGTGGCTGCTGAGATGTATTAACAGAAAGAATTCTTTTCAGAATTGAATGTTTTGTGCTTTGCTAAAACTGTATGAATCCAGAGGCAACCTTGTTCCGAATATCAATAGGCAGGATTTGGGTCTTCTTAGCCATTTGCCCTGAACATTCTAGCCGGCTCGTAAGTTTGCACGGGTCACCAAAGAATTTGTTCCATCGGAGTAAAAGACGGAGGGAAGAGGAGGAAGAGCATGAGAAATGAACAGCTGAAACAGGAACATCACAATTTTTTTTATTCCCTTCATCCACAGGCAATGCTGTCATTTAAATGACGCACCATGCCGGATCTGACTGGCTTCGCATGATTGCTGCCATCAAATAAATCATCCTCTATTTTCAGGAAGGTTGGCAGCAATCAGCTGAACTTGCAGTTTGTTTACAAAGAGCAGCATAACTGGGGGGGGAGGAGGAGAAGGGAGGAAGGGACAGGCTGGAGAGCAAAGACTCTTAAAGAGGCACAGAGGGGGCCAAGGAAAAGGGCCATCAAAAGCATCTGAGGAAAGGGCAGGCCTGAGTAGTCTCCCTTTCTGATTTATATGGCCTCGTGAGCAATAAGAATGTGATTTTCTGATTTTTTTGGACTACAGATCCCATAATTCCCCATTCTGGAAGTCTTACCTGACAGACAGATGCCTTACATACACATAAATGTAGCTCGCCTGGGAGAAAGGCCTCACCCGGAAGGCTCTGAGGCTAGGCCTAGCTCCCTCTAGCTTCCTGTCCAGAAAGGAAGCTCCCAGAAAGCACTGGGAGGCGGGGAGGAGCTAGGCCTAGCTAAGTATCAGAGCCTTCCAGACTAGGCCTTTTCTCCCAGGCGAGCCACATTTAGGTGTGTGTAAGACAGGTAGAACTCCCAGCATGGGGAATGATGAGATTTGTAGTCCAGGATATCTGAAAATCTCACCCCGAGTGAGCAATGGATTCCTTCCTCGCTGCACTTCCTTTTTTATATACATATAGTGCAATACAGAAATGTGTGGGAGGAACATTAGGAGTTTTGTGTAGAATCTTGTCATTATTTTGTTTGTTTGTTTGTATAGGAAGCTGTGGTCAGCTCCTGGATCCAGTTCAGTGATGGCTCTGTGACACCACTGGACATTTATGATGCTAAAGACTTTGCCCTCTCGGCTTCTTCTCTGGACGAGTCCATCGTTTCGGTTCGCCAAAGCTCTGCTTTGAGATGGCCTGTGGTTGCCGCGGAAGGTGAAGGTCAAGGGGCTTTGGTCAAGGTGGACATGATGATCTCTGAAGCCTGCCAGAAATCTAAGCGGAAGAGCATCCTGGTGGTCGGCAACGGCAGCATTAAGGTGAAATTCGGCCAGAACGACGCCGACTCCCACGGCGCTGGGGACTACGATGCGGACGAGATCGAGAATCACGCGAGTGACCGGAGGCAGAAGGCGCTGGACCAAGAACGGTACGGCCAAGAGGGACGGTATTACGGGAGCTCTTCCGCAGAAAGAGAGGAAGGTGCCGGAAGGAAGGCGGGCACCACGGCCAAGTCGATGATCAAAAGCAAGGTCTTCAGAAGCAGCCTGGGTGGGGAAAAGCTCTCAGATGATGGCCAACTCCAAAACATTCCGATTGACTTCACGAACTTCCCAGCTCAAATCGATCTCCCCAAAAGCAACGGTGGTCTGGAGGAGAACGACCTCCTGCAGGCACCTAGGGGGCTCAGCGACTTAGAGATTGGGATGTACGCCCTGCTCGGGGTCTTTTGCCTGGCCATTCTTGTCTTCCTGATCAACTGTGCTACCTTCACCTTAAAATACCGGCACAAACAAGTCCCGGCGGAAGGTCAGGCTTCCATGAGCCACTCCCATGACTGGGTGTGGCTCGGGAACGAAACAGAGCTCCTCGAAAACCACGCGGACCTCTCCCCGCAGCAGGAGGAGCGCACCACGAACGTGGATCGTGGGGTCGGCACGGAGGAAAGCCACCAGCTTCTCAACGGCAGCGCCCTGAAAAGCATCCAGAGCCAAATCCACCGGTCGGCGGACTCGGGAAGCAAACCGGGGAAAGAGCCGAAGCCCGAGGCCCCGTCCCATTCGCCCACTTCCAAGCGGAAGAGGGTGAAGTTTACGACGTTCACGACCATTCCGCCCGATGACGGTTGCCCCACCGTCAACTCGATCCTCAACTGCCAGGAGGATGACATTAAGTGGGTTTGCCAAGATATGGACCTCGGGGAGTCCAAAGAGATCAGAAACTACATGGAGAAGCTGAAAGACAAAGCGTAGCTTGGGTTCTTGGTTTTACCACCGAGCAGCCACACCTTGATGCCTTCAGTTGTGTTGGGACCTCCAAAAGGAAGTCGATATTTGTGTGTCAGGGAGGGACTGGAACAGATTGACAAAGAAGGTGGGTTTTCTTTTTCTTTTTCTCCTCAGTATGGAGGAGCCATTTGTTCAAGCTGTCCATGGGGTAGGTCAGTCTTCCTTCCTCACCCCCCCCTCCATGCGATGGTCCTACGTCTAAGTCAAATGAACCAAAGGAATGAAAGAGGCAACAGGATAGACTGGGCATAGTGATGACATTCATGTTTTAGGGCGTCGAAGGCAATTGAACACAATGTACCAAAAGTATTCTTTTCTTTAAAAAAAAAAAGGAAGAAAATTTTTAAAAAGACAAAAAAAAGGTCTTTATATTTCTAAAAACATAGCATTGAAAAGTAGAAAGCCAAGATCCATGAAGAGACTGCGTGGAGATATTTGACTAGAACGTCCCTGGCTAAGAATGTTCTTTTCTACATCCTCCTGCAGAAAGAAAAAGGACATAAGAGGAAAGAAAAGTTCAAGTTATTTCCCCCCCCAAAAAAAACCCAGTTGGATTTTTTTTCCAAAATATTGTTCCATGTAAGTCATCTCCCCCGCCTGCTTCCATTCTCCTTTCTCGTTTTGACCATTTCTGATTTCATTCTTTTATGCAAGTCAGGAGAGAGGATTAAAATATTTGAAACCAATAGCATAGTCATCTTAGAACTACAGAGCTGGAAGGGACCCTATGGATCATCCAGTCCAGCCCCTGTTGAGGAGGCCCAGTGGGGGAATCGAACTCCCAACCTCTGGCTCTTCAGCCAGAAACCTCAACCACTCATCATTTGGGGGGTTGCTTTGGTTTGTTGTTTTTCATTATGGTAGGGGTTATGCCTAAACCCTAAAAACCACTAAAAGGAGAGCCACAGGCATGGAATGAAAGAAATCTGGAACCAAGAACTAGAATTGTATGCAACTCACAGTTGGTTTATCAAAAAAGAGAGAAAATCCGATTTTGGGTATGCCCATCCTGTCATTCCATTGACATCATTTAGGGTGGGAGAGAGATTTCTTTGTTTCTGCTGTTATTAGAAAATCGGGCTGCCTTTCCTGACATTGGGTCCAAAAACATGAGAGGTGGATCTGTAGCTGTTGCCACAGTACATTCTTGGTTCCTCATCAATAGGATCGCTTTGTTTGAATTTATGGGGTCCCATAGTCAGCAGAGGGTGGCGTGAGCTGATGTCAGTGGGGTGCCGAATCCATGCCACGTTTCCGTCCAGACCCTCCAAAGTGATTACCTATTTAGGGAAATTGGGTTCAGGACCTTGGAGAGGTCCTTTAAAGTTCCAGCTAAACAGGGATTCACACCGCGCTCCTGACATCAGAACCGGCAGCTTCTGCTGGTCTCAGTGTCACCAGAAAAGACTGGGCGGATGAATGACCACCGCTGGGTGAGATGTAGAAGGTATAAGTCCCTTGGCTGTAGGCCCCGAGGTGCACCTAGGAAGCAGGCCGGGAGACTGGCAAGCAAAGGAACGGACCTCAAGAAGTATGAAAGTCAGGTCTAGTTGTCCAAGCGTCACTGGTTGGGGCTGACCATCACTCAGTGAAAACCCAAGCCATACCTGGAAGCATCCAGTCAAGGGGAAGCCAATCAGCTGCCTGCGTGGGCAGGATGGGACAGCCAAGAGAAACTGTCGCCAACCAACAATTCCAAACGGATCCCCAACAAAAGGGCTATAGGGTCCTCATTCCAGCAGAATCACGTTGAAGCACCTCTCACACACTCCTCTACATCTTAGGAGATCTGTCTCCTGGACCACCTGCTTAGGAAGAACCTTGTTCTTGCCACCTTCATCCTTCCAATGGTTTCTGCAGTGACTCATCCCAGTTTCCATCACCTCCTCCTTCCCGTTTATTGGTTTCTTCCTCTGATTCGCTTGGGTGCAAGGGAATCCGAGCGCCCTGTAGCGTAGATGGACGGTTGGACAAGATTTGCCTGGTATGCATTGTAGACTGGAAGAATGTAATATTTATTTATACCTGTTATACAAATTGTAATTAAAAGGCTTTACATGGCTTGGTCAAGATGGTTTCATCGGGGGAGGGGCAGAAGTGAATTAGATCAAATGTATTCCCTTTTCCTAAACAAGGACACAGTTGTCTTAATATCCTGAGGAACAAGGTATATCAGATACCAAGATTTGGTGTTACTTCTTTTTCATATTATTTTCCTATGAGTCAGACATATAAATCTTCGTAAAATTATTATTTTGGCTTTCTCAGATTCTGCAGTGCTCATCTTGCCCCAGCAAGCAGAACTAGCAATGCTGTCCAACTACTGGTATTCACAGATAGACTGCACTGGTAAAGGAGGCTCCACTTAGAGAACAGTTTTGCTTAGAACTTGTGAGCGTTAGGAGGGGTAGGACTAGATGGCCGAGAATCACCCAGCCTGTGTAGCTACTGTTTCTTGAATCTACTATCTTTTTTGGAGGGCAGGAGCAAGCTTTCCCTCCATATTTTGGTACCATTTTAAAAAAATCACTTTCAACAATGTAGTGTCAAATGACGTGGAGTACCGAAAGGTGGACAAAATGCTTACCCCCAGACCAGGAGGGCAATTTGTGATTCAGTAGGCTGGGTTCCCCACTTGAACGATGAAGTAAACATGACCCTCACTCTTCATTGGCTTTGCAAGCATCCTTCACTCTTCATTGACATTGCAAGCATCACCTTCACTCTTCATTGGCTTTGCCGGTTCTCAGTGACATCAGTTGTGCCTGCGATGAAAAAACACCAACATGTATTACTTTTTGGCCAATTCTGAACACCTCAAAGCTTTCCCAACCTCTTGGCGTGCTGTCTCTCACTCTCTCTCACACACACTCTTGCTGGGTCAGAGAGAGACAGCTTTGCCAGCGGCTGAGACAGCAGATGGGCATGGCAGACAGACCAATTCTCACCATAATCATCATCCATCAAACTGATCCTTGCCGTCATTGGCAACACAAAAAGCTCCAGAAAACCTTGTTTCTGCCGTGACTGATGTTCTACAACAGTTCATCGTTCACATTGCCATCTTCTTGATGGATAGCAAGGCTTTGCTGTGCTTATTTGGAAGAAGCTGCTTCATCAATGTGTCACCAACTGGGTCAAAAACCTTACTAACATGGAATGGAGGGCCAGAACCTGATGAGAATGTTGGGCAATGCCAAGGAGGTCATTGACTCCGTCATCAGCCTGGTCATGGTAAGTCATGGTAAGTCTCCATCATGTTGGGCAATGCCAAGGAGGTCATTGACTCCATCATCAGCCTGGTCGTGGTAAGTCTCCATCAGTGGTTCCCAACCTTGGGTCCCCAGATGTTCTTGGACTAAAACTCCCAGAAGCCTTCACCACTAGCTTTGCTGGCCAGGATTTCTGGGAGTTGTAGTCCAGGAATTTCTAGATGGATCAGCAGTATAGGCATCTAGCTGTGGCATTTCTGGGAGTTGTAGTCCAGGAATTTCTGGATGGATCAGCAGTATAGGCATCAGGGTGGATCAGCAGTATAGGGAGTTCGATTCCCCACTGGGCCTCCTTCAATGATCCATAAGGTCCCTTTCAGCACTGAAGTTCTAAGATTGAAACATCTGGAGACTCAAGGTCGGAAACCACCTTGCGTCAGTGCAAACCCAAATAAAGGCCATTTCCTCGGAAGGAAGGAACCAAACAGCAAAGCGAACTGAGCGAATTTAGTGATCACACGGTGTTCGGTGCCCATCAGAAAAGCACACCTGAGGTGGGAGATTAAAATCCTTGTTATTAAGAACCAAGATCAAATAAATTGTCAATAATTCTGGGTACCTATAATGTGTACGTAATGAAGCAAATTGTGACTGAATGCCAAAACAGCCCATTTATGGGGAACGTAGAAAGTGCCGCCGTTCAGTCTGGGCAAAACCCTAAGGAATATCACACTTTTAAGCAAGTTGTGTTGTCGCTTCTCCTCCTCCTCCTCCCTGATGGGGGAAAAAAACACACAAAAAAACCCCAACCGCATCAGAAGTCATTTCAGTCAGCAGGCGTGTAAATGCTCTTCTCAACGGGTGACGGAAAAGCCAACCTGCTGTGAAATATCATTTATTGGAGAAAAGCGTGTTGGGTCAAAATGTCAGGATTTGCATTTCCGAAAGCGACGGCAAACTGAAACTCCAAAGGGGCCCGGGTTTCAGAGGGGATGACTAGGAGGACGGCATCGCTCTCTGCCAATTTATTACATTTTTCTAGGCAGGGGAACCCGGAGGCTCAAGAGAGAACTGGAAAAAAAAAGTTACAAGTGCCTTTCTGGGAGGCAGGATGAGAACATGGTATGTTACGGATTTGTCATTGCCATGTGGCCCGCTGCGGCTTTCATCTGAACTCCTGAGATGGCAGAAAGCCTTCTGTAAATGTTCGGCAATGGCTCTTATCTCAAGCCTTGGGCAAAACATCTTGCCCGACCAGCCCCGCTCGGCTCTTGTAGCGTTAGGGCTATTACTTGCTTTTAGGGAGTTCTCTTTCCATGCTTCCTTCCACTTGATGGCTGAAATCCAGCAGTAAGACGCAACGAGAGGAGGCCCATTGAATTAGTGGGAATTGGGTGAGTCAACAGCTATGGAAGCTCCATTGATTCAATGGGTCTAAGTCTAGTTGTGACTTCCTGCTGGATTTCAGTCAATGTATGGAAGCAAAATGGACTGGCAGTTGAATGTTACTTCAACAAGAGGATCGATGTTCTCTCTCTCTCTCTCTGTCTCTCTGTCTCTCTCTCTCTCTTTCTCTCTCTCTCTCTCTCTCACACACACACAGAGAGAGAGAGAGAGAGAGAGAGAGAATCATAGAATCATCATAGGGTTTGAAGGGATCTTGGAGGTCTTAGAGAGAGAGAGAGAGAGAGAGAGAGAATCATAGAATCATAGTAGGGTTGGAAGAGACCTTGGAGGTCTTCTAGTCCAACCCCATGCCCAAGGAAGGAGACCTCATACCATCCGAGATGGATGATTGTCCAATTTTTTCTTGAAAACCTTCCAATGATGGAGAGAGAGAGGTATTCAAACAATGATGGAGAGAGAGAAAGAGAGAGGGAGGGAGGTAGTCAAACAATGGAAAATGGCCAAATCACTCAGGAGGGGTGGATGGCGGACCACCATCTTTATTCCTACAGCATCTACCACACAAAGAGAGTTTGGGAATAACGCAGTGGCTTTGACATGGCAACGTTCAAATAGTTAATTAAGTTCTCCATCAAGAAGAGGACACACCAGCTGAACCTTCTGAAGACCGATGTTTCACTTACTTTTTTGATGTAAATGCTG